ATACATACAGGTATAAAAATTTATATGCGCTTCATTTTGCCTTGCTATCAAAGTTCGCAAAAGATAAAACATATTTTTTTACCTTCAGCATAAAACTAGAGCAAAAGCTCCAATCATTACCACTTATAACGAAAGGAAAAAGCTTATAAATTACTTGAAAAATGCACTGATAGGGGGCAATAATAATAAATGGACTCAACTCGTCACGCTTATTATTGATATATGTTCGAGCATAGAGCGTCTCGTATATAGTTCATAGGGTCTCAGACATTTCCTTCTGGCTTTAAAAAACTTCGTGGCTAACTTAACATAACCTGCTGTGTAAAGCAGTCAATTTCAACTGTTAATAACCTATAAGATCCACAAAATTAAATATGTTTTCAAGTAGTTGGAAGCGAGATATAATGTATCGATATCAGGAAATAGGAAAATAAATAGCAAACGGTTAGTCGTGGGACCTTCCCGTTGCTATTAAGAGCTCATACTTGGAGAGCCTTTCTAAGAGGCGTTTATCAACCAATTTTCCGGAGTATAAGCCGAAAAAAAACATTATTTTTTTGACCCATCCTACTGAAAATTCCTACACGATATTGGGTGCCTCTCGTGATGTCATCAGCCACTGAGAGATGGTTTTAAATGGAAAAGTGTTTCCCAGTAAGCTTCCCACTAAAAACAGAAGTCGTTTCATTACAATCTATCGTTTCTCTTTACGCAGCCAAGCATACTACATATAAGAGAAGAAAATTAAAGAAAGGGTTTTTTAACGGTACCAAGACCCAAATTCTCTACAAAATATTTAATTAAACTCATGCAAAACAAACTTTTCTGCAACACAGTAACCCAAACTGACCAGCAATGAGTGGATGTGTCTGCTATCAACAACACTCTCAATTCAATATACCGTTTATGAGAGCGAAAGAGAGAGAAAGTGAGCGCATAAACGAAGATCTGCAATTCTGAGTGCATATGATGAATGAATGAGCTGATGGCGAGTAGAATACCGGACACTTGTACACACACCGAACACCGTTAGACGGATGGACAAAAACCAGTAGCAATGTTACAGACCGAGACGAGCCTGCGAAATAAAGTGAAGAAATGAAAACAACAATGTGTGCAGCGTAGAAAAAAATTAAGTATGGCTGGTTGAACGGACGAACGATGGTGGATGGAGGCAACCAACGAAAAGAGCTGTGGGTATGCGCTAACGGACAGCGCTCACTAATGGGGGTGACAAAATGGAGCAGTAACCGAGACGACAAATGAAACTGCATATGTATGTTGAATTGAGTACAAGCAAGTGGTTGCAAATCGCATGGACCAGTATGAAGCGGTGAATGCCGAATGCTGGCTACAATGGCAGCTCAGTACATGCGATGTATGTACATATATATGTATGTATATTTGAGTTTTTAATTGTATATTAATTTTTTGCACTGATGCCTGTCGTAATCAGCGTAATGGCGTGCGCTGAGGATTTAAATAGCAAGCTGCAGCCTGATAACTGATTTGGCAAAGTAGGCGATTTCGCATTGCGCACGAAAAACGAAACGGAAGTGGCGAGTTTGTCAGTTGGAATGCAGTTGAGGTTTCCTTTATTAATTATATGCTTGCGTCTAATTTTATTTCTTGTTTTTATGTGTCGCAATTGTGCGCCTCACATTTCAATGCCAGTCGCAATGACATAATAATTGTGATTTTTCGCACAAGTGAAATTCTGTATGTATGTGTATGTATATAGTAGGCGAAAATGAGCGGAAAATTCTGCATTAAATTTTGTTAATTAAGTTTTCAAATTTTTAATTTTTGTACTTAAATTACTTTTTGTTGCTCTTCGTCTAAGTCTATCATAAATAAACAGAATGATTGTAAGAAAGTATATTTAAAATACAAAATAAAATTCATATATACATAGATATATTATATATATATAACATCAAAACAGTTGCGTCGCCTTTTCAAAATGATTTGCATATACATTATATGCATATTAGGGTGCGCTAGAAAAAAACTAATATATTTTTGGTTTTAAAGTTACCTGTATAGAGAGAAAAGAAGAAGAATTGTTAGCTTAGTTTTGAGAAGTTTCGATCATTTAAAGTTTCCCATATAAATAACACATAAATAATATTTATATCTTGAACAGGATATAATAAGTTTGCCACGAAGCTTGTAACACCTGAAAGGAAATGTCGGAGACCCTATGAGATGAGTCGATAAAGCCTAGTCCGTCTCTTCGTCCGTCGTCCGAATGTATATATGCGAACTAGTTCTTCAGCTTTTTAAAATCTGAAATTTTGCACACTTTCTCTGCAAGAAGCCGCTCATTTGTCGGAACAGCTTTTATCGAATCACTATAGCATATATGTAGCTGTTATAAATACTGAACGTTCGTTTTTTCTTGTTTTTCATTAAAAATCCCATAACTCATAAATAAATTTTTACATCGCGAATTTGCATAAAGCATAAAATTTGCAAAAAACACATTCACAGTGGGATTTCTCTTCATACAACCATTCGTATTTTTGAAAGGTTTCCAAAGGGGAAAAGTCAAAAAATTAAGTTTTTTTTTCAAATCATTCACTAAAAAATCGAAATTAAATATTCAAAAAAAGGTAATAGTTAAAAAATAACGTTTATAAACACGATTTGTCAAAACAACAGAGTTCTTATATGTCTTTTCTTTATTTTCTGCACAAAAATCTAACGGTCCTCAAAAAATTCTAACGATCTATTTTTTCCTCTTTTTCACGGCATTACAGGCAAATTTTTTTTCTCTCTATATTGGTTCATTTTAATACATAAATTGGTTATTAGTTTATTTTGGCTCACCCTAATTTATCCCTATATATATATATACATATATATCATGCATAGAGGCATCAGTTTATAGCACCTTAAAGGCATTTAAATGCCTCAAGTGCGACACTTTATGAGCTGACGCTGCTGCTACAATCAGGTCTCATGCGTTCGCTTTTGTACTGTGGGGTGATAGTGCCGTATAGAAATCTTGTGCTAAAAATACCATTTTTGTCGTAGATTTCGTAGCGTCGTCTATTGCGTACTGTATACAGCATATAGGTTTGTGTGTGTGTGTGTTTGCAAATTTGTACTCAAACAAAGTATTTTGTATTTATTATGTTTTCTTAATTTTTTAAATTCTTTGGGTACCTTTCCTTTTTTTTTTTTTTGCAAATGTGCAAAATTGCTGCGCTAGGTCATAAAAATAGTAACATTCACACGTTGATGATAGTGACAATTTAGTCGGCTAGATTGGTTGTATATTACTATATGTTTCTCAAACTTTTCAGCCTCAATTGTAGTATTATTTATAGTTAATCTTTTACACGCGCGCTAAATCAATTCAAAAATCAGAAACATCGCTAACTTGAGCGGTCCGAAGCTATAATATCCATCACAGGCGCATGTCTTATAAAATTTATATGTGTAAATAATTCTAAAAACGTAATCGGCCAACAATTTGCATTCAACGGAAAAGGTTTTGCTAGTTCTTTCTAGCCATGTCGTTGGATATAAACAACCTGCAAGTCGAATTAAGGTTACATAATAAGGAAAAATGATATTTCATGAAGATCGGCCAGTTTAAGTGCCAGCTATATGCTATAGTGGACCGAACTGAACAATTTGTTCGAAGATCTTCACTTTGCCTTGAACAAAAATCCATGCCGAATTTCGTGAAGATATCTTGTCAAAAAAAAGTTTACAATACAAGTATTTGATTTGGAGGGGTCAACTCAAATGTCAGCTATATGCTATAGTGTACCGATCTGAACCATCTATTCGACGGTTTTACCATTGTCGAACAATAATCCCGAGTGATCTAAGAGTGACTATAGTAAAGAATTTTTTGCTACTACTATACCAATTAGCCCCCGGTAGGTAGGGTGTAGAATTTGACCGCGGTAAGGTATGCCTGTCGTAAGAGGCGACTAAAATCCACATGTACTACGTCTGTTTTTAAGCTTTACCACGAAATATCAGCATAGTTAGAAATAGTGCTATAATACTCAGCTTGAACTGATATTATAGACTTTAAATGAGTTTCCTTATAATGAAAATACATTTGAAGTTCAAGCTACAAATGTCACCAGTCATTGAGTTGGATGGGTGCTCAACTAGCAGCAGCTTCGGCTACAAGGTCATACCGGAGATTTAAATCTGAAATCACGGTATCTGCTCATTAGGTTTGGCCCTTTGTGCAGATTCATGGTGGCTGTGGTTTAAACCTAAATGTTGGAAGAACTGAAAAATTCAGTTCAATGTGGAGTTGCATAAGCAACCAGGTGCCGCATCTACGCACGGCAGAGGTTTTAGGTCGGCCTCGAACCCGACCACGGTGGAATAGATGTCCTTTCCACCTAACTAATTGATATCCAAATAATGCTTGTAAGTAACTTGCGTTATTTGAGCGCTGATGCGTGCATTGTTTTGATCCGTTGTGCTTTTGAGCACCGTAAGGTTAGGCCGTCGCCGGCAGGTACTCACGTAAATCACAACAAAAGTTGTCTAGCCAATAATCGGTAAGATCAAAACATTACTTTCTGGTCCTTAATGTACATATCTCAAGGCTGACTGAATTATGTACCAAGTAGATTTATTGAATTTGAGGTAAAAATAGTAGTCTTTGGCAGAGTAAGAATTCCTAAAGTTAATTAATATAAAGTTATCAGCTCCTGTTGGTAGCAATAACTAGCCATATAAATCAGAAAACTACACCAGTCCCTATTTCACAAAATGCGATCTAAAAGTACCGGTATTTCCGCTTCATAAGTGATTGGTCTGTATTATAAAGCTTATCGGCATAGTAAAGGTCGATATCGAAATTATTTGCAAACTGTTAGTGTAGCTTCCGTTCGAGAGTTTCGGAATGTAGCAGATACACGAGCAGAAAACAAAGGAGCAATCTGGAAAAAAAATTGAGTTGTCTAACAAAACTCACTCACCCACTCATAAACTCCTCAATACAAACTTGTACTTACTCATTAGTTCTATGTCAATGCTGCTGCGAAAGTTTTCGACTCAGTTTCTACTCCGTTTTGAGTCGGATATGGTTGTAAATTCCGCTGCGGTTTCAATCGCTGTTTGCTTTTATGTAATTTTCACTGAATTTTTTTTCCCTCTTATCTTAGCTACTATGGTTATTGCTGCATTGAGGTTCAGCTGTTTTTTTATTTTTTTATTTCTTCCGAGTTGTGCTAATTTTTAACTTGTTAAATAAAATAAATTAAATATTGTATACTACTATTTATTCTTAGCTTGTTTACCTATTCGTACTTTAGTTTGCACATTTTGCTTGATTTTCCTTCATTAGATTCTCTCTGTTTCCCGCTTTTTTACTTTGCGAATCTTGCTATCAATCTATTATCTATCTCTTTATATCTGTAGCTCTTATCAATTGCTCATCATGTACCGCTAACTTTAAATAAACTTCTTCGCTTCACTCTTTATATTTGATTTTTGCTTAGCCAATACTCTATTTCTGCCTGCTATACTCTCTTTTTCCTTCATCCTCCTCTTCTTCTATTTCTTCCTCTTCTTTTTCTTTTTCTTCTTCTTTTATATTCTTCTACAAGTATATCCTTCTGTACCGCTACTTTTACTGCTTTTTTCTTACTATCGCTACCAATACTTTTTCCTTCCTTTGCTCCTCTCGTTGCCTGCTTGCACTTGCTATTCGTTTCCTCTTCCTGCGCCACTCTAATCCAACTCTCGCTCACTTCCTGCAAAGTTATCTGCGATTTTCACACATGTATCGGTTAACAATGAGTAGTGTTACTTCACTTTTTTACACTCACACTCTTTTTTTTATAATCGAAATTTCGCAACCGATTTTTAGCATTTTTTTTTACACCACCACTAGAAGCTGGTTATCGACATAGGCTTATCCAAAAAATTTTGTTATAAAAACTGATTCACAGAAACAGCGCACACACACTGAGACACTTTTTCTCTTGAACACTACTGAAATTCCGAAAAAAAATACTTTCCACGCCTTTTTATAACCTTTGAATACCGCACAATTAAATCAGGTTTCGTCAAATAACAGTATTTGCTCAGCACACTGCAGTAGAAATTGACTCAACAATTTTGATTTTTAGTTAATTATATTTTTTTTCTTGCTGGTGATGATTATTCACAGACACAGCGCTGACCGTCCGACATACAGTAAAGTGTTTTTGTTCTTCAGATCTTCTTTGCTCGCTTGCGCCGTGAATATCAACTACTGCTCCGTATGTGCCGAGTACACGCCAATACTGAATCGTAAAGGGTGACAGCCGACACTTGCTAACCTATAATTTTCACTCTTAAAATATTCTTGCGACCAATTATATGTATGTACATATGTAAATAAGTACGTAAGCTCACCGAAATCACCACCGAATTGCATTAGGCAATCTATGGCATTTAGTCACTAACAACAACATCACGGCCTCCCCCGTTTATGGCACATGGCTTTGTATGCGGCACATGGATGGATGGTTATCGAAATTCGCTCATTTAGCATAAGTCACTCACAAAATATTTCGTGCTCGAGCGCGCAGTTCTCAACTACACGAAAACTTTCATATCTAACTTACTCTCCTGTGTACTATACACTCAGCGTACTCACATATTGGCCTTTCGTTGTCGCTGCGGCACCCTCTTCGGTTGCGGCGTGCCAATATTTGCTTTGGCATACCCTTATGCCTCTCTTCACCCCCTAACCAAAGCGGCGGTCGTTGTGTTGGTGCTCATTGAGCATTTGGCTTGTATGCCACACTTTTGTTCCACACGCACAAATTCATGTCAGACCTGTGACATATGTGCATAGACGCATCGCGGCAAGTGTGTTGTTTGCTGCCGCGTGCATACAACACCGCCCTAATGGTTTCATAATAATTATACGAAGAGCCAGTCGCCAGCCGCCGCCGCTGTCGTCAACCTCGTCTCACCATAAGGCTGAGTCAGCAAAGCGCGTTGGCAGCGTGAGCACTTTCAATTTTGGCTTTGCATGTGACGATTAGTCAATTATCATTGCACGAATTAGTTGGTATGCAAATTTTGCGTTGGATTAGCGAGAGAGGTCGCGTGTGCACGGTAAAACGCACAAAAGTATGAAATAACAGCACATACCCATTCACACCGCGGCGTGCTGTTTGGAGAGTCGGTGACATCGCTGTCAGTTTGTAGGCGATGTCAGAGTAGGGGTCGGCGGCGTTGGTGGGGTGGCATTAGTGTGTCGGAAGGTCGTTTTGGCGCAGCGCATGCGTTGTATTGAAAGAGCGGCACCGCTACCCGGCGTGGCAGCTATGCTTAAGTATTTGTAGTGGCACATGATGTGCGAATGAGCATACATGTCTGTATGTATGCAATTAATTCTTGGCGAGCGTACGCGCTTCATATTCGTTTCTTTGATAGCAGCCCTCGTACTCTTTCGTTCGCTCATAGATTTGTTCGTTGATTCGCCAATATTTGGCGACTCTCACGCATGAATTGTTTGCAACATATTTGCGGTTTGTCATCGGTCATCGTTGTTAGCCGCTTTCACGCCTAAATAGAGAGTTGCCAGATTGCTCGAGATAAAATTAATATCCAATTAAAATTAAGTTATTAAGGTTATATTTAATAGTTAATATGATCTGAAAGGTGAATTCTCGAAAATATCGATAAAGTAATAAAAAACGTTGGATCCGACACTCAAGGAAGCAATCTTTCTATTTTCTAGGAGGCCTACATTGTACCAAAACACGTTTGGAACTATCTAAATAAGGTTGGATACAAAAAGAAGCTCGATGTATGGGTGCCACATGAGTTAACGCAAACAAATCTGATGGATCGCGGTGAGCTGACACAAAAATTGGCCACGCCAATATGGACTGTCTGGAAGGTTTTGCTATATGTTTGGTGTTATTGACAGGGAATCATTAATTATGAGTTGCTCCCCTGCCTGCTCCCCTGCTGCCAAACTCCTAATTAGGATCTACACGGTCAACGATTGTACTGGAAGGAAACAATCGGCCAACTTTGGCCAATAAGACAAGAATTGTTTTCCATTTTCGGGAGTTCGTTACTCAAACCGAAATTGGTGAAAATCGTAAACTCATTGTGTTGTTGGTCAATTGTAAGAACGCACGGCAACCACTTTGTATATTTCGCATTCCCAAATTTTTGAATACGTTCTCTTCTTCGATCAACTTCGCTTTAGCATTATCCAAAATTGTTTAGTGGATTTTGAAGCTATTGCATAGCTTCTATCGCGTGCTTTGGGCGTGGAGACTGAATGAAAAGATTCCGTAACGGAAATAAACCTAACAAGAGCAGGGTGACTCAAAAATATTAATATTTAAGATACAATTTTTTTAATGGCAAATAAAAATATAGAATTTAATAAAAATTTAATTAATAAAAAATAAATTATTCAATATTTGGAGTCATAATATTAGTAACATTATTATTATTTTAGCATATAGCTACCCTACCTTTTGGAACAGTATCGCGTTTGACTTAAACAATACAATTGAAAGTTGGTATTACAATCAGATTATCAATGGTAATAAATTTCCACTTATCTTGGCTGATAACTTTGCTGATAAAATATCTTGACAACTTTTCTTTCGGAAAATTTAACTTGAAAATGAATAATGATCCACAAGAATCCACAGCAAAATATGGGATTACCATTGATGCGGTTTTTTTCAGATATTTAGAGAATATCTATCTTATGTTTCTTATATATTAATATGTCAGTTACCATAAACCTATAGTTTCAATGATAAAAATTCCTCAATAGCCAATATGTATTGTAAAATAAAAAAAAAAATTTAAATAATATTAAATTCACATTTATTCAATAAGAGAAAATCTTATCGATCAACACGCTCAAAAAGTGTAAATTGAACTAATGTCAAAGAAAAGAAAAAAAAAACTGCATAAAAAATAAATATATAATTATAATTGCAAAAGTTGATAAAAAATGCTATGCAATAGCTTTACTGCGGCAGTGCCCGAGTACCACACATACTTTTTTTTGATTATTTCGGCCGTGACAGTTGCTTTGAACATCCACTTCAATCACCTTTGAAGCTTATATCGCACGGAACGGATCTTAGAAAACCACCTAAGGTTGAATAATCGGTTAGTTGACTATAAGCATGCTGCTGTGAATGTATATGGTTTATATCCTCTTTCTATGATTTCGTAATAACTATGTGGACCCAAAGGCAATGGCAACAGAATCGCATTACTAACGCCAAAAAAAAAATTAACTTAATGTGTCACTCCGTAGAAATTAAGTTATAATGCATATCATCCCAAATTTTTTCACTAAAATAATCACCTTAATTTATTAAATATTTCAACTCTAAATTTAAAGTCACGGCTAATATCAAGCGGAAGTGCACACAACCTCCAGTCGATTAGCGGCTGCACTTAGTAAGCCACAATTAGCCTACTTAGCTGATATTTCCGCAAAGTTTATATAATAACGGTAGCCCAGTAGTCAGCATGCCGTTAAGATAACACTAGCAAATTCTCACTTGATCCATTGTTTAGTTAAAGCTGTGGCATCCTCTGTCAAAATCAAACCTTTTACATACGGTTAGACGACTTCTGTTATTCTAACAGTGATGATTCGCAAAAGCAGCAATGGCATACATACCACAATTATAAGCCACTCTTGCATATTATAATAATTTATGACCTTAAAGCAAAAACAAAAGCTAATTATAAATTAAGCGTGCAGTTATGCATATTAATACATGTTCACACGCACATACACGCTGTATACGCAGGTGATTGATTGACTTTTTCACTTAGCCGATTAAGATTTCTATGTCATCTGTTTATCTTTTGCTAAATAATTGATATTTTTTGCACGTTTTTGTGACATGCTTTTATTACTATTTATACATTTATTAATTTTTAACTGATGGATGTATACACTTATGTTTTACAGATTTGTGTTAAAGTTGAATTGAAAAAACAACTCATTTAAATATTATTAAAATAATCTCTAAATAAAAATGTTTTTTGGAAACATTTTGTATATCATCCCGAAGCCCCACCGAAGCATAACACCCTTCACAAAAACAAAAGATTCCTTACAAGAACTTTAATCGGGCAGCTTGTATGTCAGCTATATGCCATAGTGACTCGAACTGAATAATTTCTTTGAAAATTGCACCGATTCCTTGGGCAATAACACATGCCACATTTTGTAAAGATATCTCGTCAAATGAAAAAGTTGTCCATGCCAGCATTTTTTTCCAATCGTTGAGTTTGTATGACAGCTATATGCTATAGTGATCCGATCTAAACAAATTCTTCGAAGACACCATATCCTAAGGCAATAACCCATACCAAGCATCGTGAAGATATCTCTCCAAGAAAAAAAGTTTTCCATACAAGCACTTGATTCAGATCGTTCAGTTTGTATGGCAGCTATATGCTATATTTGTCCGATATTGGCCGTTCCGACAAATGAATAGCTCCTTGGATCTTGGCTCGGACGGGTGCTAAATTTCAAATCGATATCTCAAAAACTTAGGGATTAGTTGGCATATCTGTCTATGTATGTGCAACGGACAGACGAACATGGCTAAATTTACTCAGTTCGTCACACTGATCTTTTATTTAGATACTTTATAAGTTCTCTGACGTTTCCTTTCGGGTGTTACAAACTTCGTGGCACTTATAGGCCCTGTTCAGGGTTCAATAAAGAACTCCAGTTACCTGCAGTAGAGCAAAACATTCACAGGGATCAAATATGCCAATTTTCGGTCAAATTGCAGAAGCAACGCACTTTTCGACGAGTGAAAAAGTGCTCTTTTACTATGTAAACACAGTTTATGATATAATATATAATTATCGAATAGCTTCAAGCTCCTTGCCATCCATGGTATTATTCATTGAATTGTGACTCTAAACTTTCGTTTTACAACTTGTGCTATCGAAAATAAATTTTGTTGCATTCATTTAACACTGATATTATCATACTTCTTCGCATCTATTAACATAAGTGAATTTTATTTGAATTTTTTCGTAAATGAAAATAAAAAAAAATTGAAAAATAATTCAGTCCAGCAGTCACTTTTTGCGCGCATCAATGTGCGTCATCGTAATGACCATTAACGTCCCTATAATTTCCCGAACAATTGAATGGGTAAGCACCGGCTTTAACAAAAGTAACCCTATGTCTTCATGCACTGTGTAACTTAATTTCTGTGTTTTCTTTTGCATTTCGTTTCGCACACTCTTATCATTAGGAGTTATTATGCAAAACAAATCAACCGTTAAAACCGCTGCCATTGCAAATTCGTGAAACTGCAAGCGAAGCAGAAACGCTATTTGTATTTTTGGCTATACAAATTTCGATAATCAAAAGAAACTAAAATAATACAGCCATTAATTATATATTTTTACCCCCCACCTGGGTGCATAACCCGTACATCAGTTGACGCAGAAGCATATTTTTTTTCAGGCGTAGCTTTACGCGCAAACCATTATTGTCATAACCTAAAAAGTGCAGTTAACTTTATATAATTGACTGAAAATATTAACGCCGAAATCCATTAGTTTGCAAAAACACATAAAATAGTGATGTCGTCGAAAATATAAAAAAAATTGAAACTACTTAAGAGAGATTGCATAAGAAACACTTATGGTGGAGTATTCGTTGTTACTCCCAATTTCTTATCAAAACATGAGTCAGAAAATGCAACAAGAAATTTCTGTGTGAAATCTAACTACTGTAGATAGAAGACCATCCGATCTATACCAATTATTTAATAAATTATTTAATCAATAAATTATTTTATGTTATTGCTGGTTCTGCTCCATAAGTCATCCAGAAAATTTCTTGATACCCTTTATGCACTGGTATGAGACTGATTTGTTTCCTATCGAAAATTTACAATTGTATATTTATATTAGTATATTGTATCCCCTTTCAGTCAGAAGTATTGTAGATAGTGAGCCCAGCAAGTTGTATGTCACCCTTAGGCAGCTGATGAATTTATCGGAAGCTTTTTTGTCTGTGTACCTAATATTTTACCACTTGAAAAAGCTAGATGCTCAGAGACTAATTAAAACAGACTTCCTCAATGAATATATAAATATGCATAAAACCTCCACATAATTATGTTTTAGGCATTTAAGATTTGGCAAAGTCTGATTTGGTAATATTAGGTAAAAATAACTTTGTGTGCATTTGTCCGATTTAAGTCAAATATGTGCCGTTTTGTTCATAAACTTTTTGCCAACGAGATGCCAACTTCATTATACCCCTCTCGTAGAAGGCTGCGTCCCTATTGGCAAAAAACTCGGAGAGCCAATTTTCACAGGCCTCTCTTGAGGCCAACTTCTCCCCTTTAAGCGTATTCGCCATGGACAGGAAAAGATGGTAATCACTTGGTGCCAGATCCGGACTATAAGTTGGGTGAATTAGGACCTCCCATCCGAGCTCCCGGAGCTTCTGGCGCGTCACCAAAGATGTGTGTGGCCTGGCGTTGTCCTGATGGAACATAAGTCGGCCTCTGTTGATCAAAGATGGTCTCTTCTAGATGGGTGCTGCCTTCAAGCGGTTCAGTTGTTGGCAGTAGAGGGCCGAATTGAGCGTTTGGCCATAGGGGAGCAGCTCGTAGTAGATGAGTCCTTGCGAATCCCACCAAAAACACAGCAAAACCTTCCTGGCCGTCAATCCGGTCTTGGCCACCATCTGGGCCGCTTCCCGAGCTTTTACCACGACCGTTTGCGCTCGATATTGTCGTAAGTGACCCATTTCTCATCGCCAGTCACAATCCGCTTCAGAAACGGGTCGATTTTGTTGCGATTCAGCAGCAATTCACAGATGGAAATTCGGTCCATCATGATTTTTTGCGATAGTTCGTGCGGCATCCAAACATCGAGCTTCTTTTTGAATCCAAGGTTATGCAAATGGTTCCAAACGGTTTTCTGGCTTATCTCTAGTTCCTCAGCAAGTAAATAAGTGCTCACGTGACGGTCTGTTTCCACTATTTCCATGATTTTATCGCAATTTTCGACGACAGAGCTCCCGATGCGTGGTGCATCTTTTTGACATCGAAATTACCGGAACGGAACCTAGCAAACCACTTTTGTGCTACACGTTCGTTTACAGTATCGGGCCCATAAGCTAAATTAATTTTTTCTGTCGCTTTGGCTGCTTTTGCCTTGATCGAAGAAAAATTGTAAAATATAGCGAATTTTCTCTTTGCTGGTGTCCATCTTTGACGAGCGCTCACAACGTACTGAGTCAATCAATCGAAAAACTGTCAAAGACAAAATTTTAGCGCGAATAAACACGTTTTCAGCGCCAGTATGACATGATGCGACACGTAACCCTAATACTATGGACAATAACGCCATCTCTTAGATAAAAACCGAACGAACTTTTTACTTTGCATAATATATAAGTTCAACTGTGTGGAATACATATAGATTTGGGTAATATTTAAGCTAAAATGATCCGTATGTATGTATGCGAACTAATCTTCAATTTTTTGAGATATCGTTCTAAAATTTTGCACACGTCTTTTTACTATAGCATAGAGCTGCCATACTAACTGAACCATTCAACTCAAGTCCTTGTATGGAAAAATTTTTATTTGACACGGTATCTTCACGAAATTTGACAGAGATTATTATCTAAGGTAATTCTACAATATCGAAATAAATTTTCGGGATGAAATCCCCAAAGTATATAGCTGTCATACAAACTGAGCGATCAAAATCAAGTTGTTGTTTGAAAAACTTTTTTGTTGTATTTGGCGAAATATCTGCACGAAACTTACCACGTTCTATTCTCTAAGACAACGCTAAGTATCTGAAAAAATTTTCGAGATCGAATTACTACATCATAAGGCTGCTATGCAAACTGAATGGTAAAAATCAAGTTTTTGTCGGAAAAACTTTAATAATTAATTAATGAATCATTTTAATAATAAATTTTGTTGCCATTTATATACATTTAAAATTTAAAGTACACTTTAAAAATAACAGCTGATATTTACAGCTCTTCGCAATGACTACTGCTATTAACAGCAATTTATTGTCAGAGTACTGGAAGCAACTAACAGCTCACTGTTAATTTTTTCGTTTTGTCGCTCGTGCAGCATCTACGATTTTCGATAACAGAATGCAAATTACTTATTTTCACGACAGTAATGTGAGCAACAAATTACCGTTATTACTGTTAACCTGTCAACTGTTAGTTTTAAATGGAAAAGCTGTTAATCGCACCTACAGCGGCTGCGCACGCTTTGGCTTTAACCCATTCGTGAGCGAGGAAGTGATATCGCGCTGTTTTAGCTAACAGCATAACAGTCGGGCGGGTTGTTGTATCATTGGTAGTTGTTTGGTTTCGGTTTCGACTTCGGAAAAATGTTAAGCGGAACGTCAGCGGCGCATCCAGCCAGCGCGACGCTGCTCAATACGGCTGAGCTAATTTTTCAAATACTCATACCTCCACTTCTTGAAGCTTTTGTGCTGTCGCTATGTATTTTGCATTGATTTTTTTTTATGTTCACAATTTTATTTTTTATTTTTTTCTTCTGCTTATCGCCGTCCATTACTACTCGATTTACTGCGCTGTTTTCGGCATGTTATTTATTCTGCTATAGTGGCATGCCTATTGTGCATATTGTATTTACTATTGTTATTGTTGGTGTTGCTTTTCTGCTACCTGTTGACTGCTTGCGCGTTTGCGACTTCAGTTTCGCCGATTTAAGTTTTTACTGAAACATTTCTTACGGCGATCAGTCACAATTCAGCGTGCGGTGGTTAAGGCTGCTCTTCAGAGCGCAAGCAATCGAACAATACTCAAATCGTGAAAAATCTATTGAATACAAATTGGTAATTGAAAAAGCCATAAGCAAAAATTTACGCCTTAAAGCAAGTGTTTTGGCAAGAGGAAATAAATCGATTTCGAACTTACTTAAGAAAATCGCAAAGTGTTTTTAACGCTTGTCATCGAGTTCTTTCGCGTGATTTCGCCTCAAAGCGCAGTGTATTGCCAAACTATATGACATAGAGCACCGTATGAGAGCAAAGCTATCGAATCAACGCAAATTTTTTTTTGACAATATTTCCAATTTTTACAACAAACGCAAATTCATACGGCACGTAGTCGGAACTTTGAGAAACACGTGTAAAAGGAACAATAAATACAATTTTTGAAATTCTAACTGCATAATATCGTCTTTGAATATTCAATGTTAACAAATTTTTGCAAATATTTCTTTTATAAAGCTCAAAAATAAGCATTCTACACGGCAAATATTATTTCTAAAAAATCAAAAAAAAAATATTTTTAAAAAAAGTTAAAAATTATTCAAAATATCGAAAAAAAATTTTCAAATACTTTTTTCCTTTTTGTAATTTTTTTATATTAAAATATTTAGTTGAAATTAAATATATATCTCTTTGCGAAACCTAAATCAAGCAAAAATTTATCACTTTTACAACAATCGCTTAATTTTATAATGCAGTTTAACGAAATTTAACAAATTAAAAACACAATAAACAACAATTAACTCTAAAGCGGAAATATCTGCAAATACTTGTGCGCACTCAATTCAACTACATGTTGTTTTGTTATTGTATTTTTAGCAGTTTTTTTCCTTTTCGCCAAAGGTTCCACCAAAATAAAATCGCAAAACAAACTAAGCAGTAAAATAAAAGAAAACTTGGAAAAACAATTCGCTTATATCATATCCTCTCTGGTCGTCGACTGTTAACGAGCGCTGCTTGGTGAGTTTTTCCAATATTTGTTCTTCAACTATTTTGTTATTAACCCTTTAGTGCACATCAAAATTTTACAATGCTTGTCTTTGAAGAAAAAATATGTCTATGAAAGTTAAATATTGAAAAAATTTAAAATAAACCAAATGACATTTGCATTTGGCGCTGAAAGCCAAAAATTGTCGTCTTGAGCTTGATGTGCCAAAAAAAGTGAAATTACAATTAAAATAAAAAATTAGAACATTTTCGAACGCGTATCACAATTTTTATAATTTTTTCCGAAATCATATTTGAATAGTTGAAAATTATATACAACTCTATATACATATATATATGTATATATTTTTTTTCTTTGAAAATCATATTATGTTGTATGTTTTAGAGGGAATTAAGTTTTCCACCAAAGTTGTAATACTCAGAAGAAAATGTCTCCGACATCCCTATAAAATATACATATGTATGATCAGCAATACGAGCCGTCTGTCTATCTGTATATACACGAACTAGATCTGAAATTGCACATGTCCTTTTCTCCCCAAGAAGCTGCTAATTTGTCGGAATCGCCGAGATCGGACTACTGCAGCATATAGGCGCTGCCATACGAATTAAACAATCAAAATTAAGTGCTTGTATAAATAACTTTGTCATTTGGCAAGATATCTTCGGTAGAAACTTTCCAAATCGGACTACTATGGCATATACCTGTCATACAGGCTGAACGATTAAAATCAAGTTATTGCTTTTTTATTTGTAAAGGGTATTCTAGCTTCAGTTCAACCCAAGTTAACATTTTTTCTAGTTTTATTTTGATTTATATACATTTTTAATAATACAAAAAAATTCCAAATTATTTATTTAATTTACAGTTTATATTAATCTGAAATAGGCCACAAAACAAAAACCAATAATTTTATTATTTTCATCATTTTTATCAAGCTAAAATGAGTAAAGAAACACAGAAAATTTTTATTGTTTATTATTATATATTTTTTTTTGTTAACCTATTATTTGAAAAGATATTTAATTTACATTTTCGTGCACCTGAAACAAAACCAAAATAAATTATTTTACTCGTTTCATAAATTTTGCTGACCTAAGCCAAGACAAAAAAATTATTTAAAACATAATTAAATAATATGTAAAAGTATATAATTTATTTAAAATATTTGTTTCTTATGCCAAACAAAAAAAAATATTAAGACTTTGCTTACCAAATATTGACACAAAAATGCAAAAACAAAATTATTTATTATTTTTACAGTTTTACACATTTTGTTAGCATTAAACATGTCAAGCTAGGTCTAAGTGCTAACATTTCCCCAATCAAGTGCCTAACTGGGTTAAAAAATGAGATTTTTCATTTCAATGTGCAGCTATTTTATCACCGCCACTATTTTCCAGCTTTTCCTCTTCGCAGTCGCTTTAACATTGTTCGCGTGCACATAAGATTAGCTATTACTCATTTTGTTTTTGTTGGGAAATTCGCCAGCGCTCAGTTGGGTTTTTCGCCGCATCGGCTGTTTTTTCCAACCAACCGAGGCCATAAGCGACAGTGCTTAGCTTTTATCTTCCACTTATTAATTTTGCTGTTATTGTTGTGATTTTTTGTGCTGACTTCTTGGAAGTTGTTTTGTTTGTTGTTTACTTGTTTTTGCTGTCATTTTGCTTTTCCACCGCTTTTGTGGAACACTCTTTGGCTGAGTTTTCAATTTAGCATTGTAAGGCAGATTTTTTTCACTTCGCTTTATTTGCCTACGTCGTCGCATTACTTACATACATATATGTTTGTGTGTGTTGTTTATTTTCGTTTTTATTGTAGTTGTTTTTTTTTTTTGCTATGGCTCTTGTCAATGTTGACTGAAATCACTTACATTTTCATGCTGCAGTTTTGAAGGTTTATTTACAGCTCAGTTATTACACACTTCACATACTCACATACACATACACACAAACAAGCCCATACAAACACATAGACGTGCATTAAGCCACTCCGGTTAGCGCAGAATTTCGTGAGCGCTCACACGTTCTTTATTAACTGCGTTTACACTTCAAGATCGTCTAATAAACAAGTCAAACAGAAATTTTCCGCTAGTGATACGGTGTTTAGAACAAGTTCAAATGTATGTATGTATGTATGTGTATATATTTTTATTGATTATGTAATGACTTATATATATATAAATGACTAAAGACGACATACTAGTAGAACATGCTGGTTGCTCAAGTTTGGTAATATCTTTTTTTCGGTTTCTATTGGCTTGAGAACAACATTCTAATATTATAGAATTTCCGCAAAAAGTATAAACATACATATATATTATATACATATGGATATATGTGTGCCTTTATATATTTTTTAATTGATAATTAGAAGTTTTAAGCGGTATATAAATATTTTAAAGCTAAAGGATAAATTATTATACAATTGTTTTCTCGAGAACAGAGTGCAAGTAGCCCGAATAGCTCTGTACAACACGGGATTTACGTATATATTATATTATATCTGTGCAAACCAGTGCTGAGGAAATTACGCCCAAAAAAATTGAATAATTTTGCTAAACAATTCTAAGTTTGGAAGACCTGTACGAATCCCTTTATTATAATGATAATTTCAACTGTTCAAAACTTTATTTTATCTCTATAATCTTGAAATATAATCTATGAAATATCAACTTCAAACATTGATACATCATTCTATAGCCTATAACATAAATATGATTAATAAAATTTTAGTATATGCTTATCCTCTGAAGCTGTTCATTACTATAGCATATAGATGCCATACAAAATGAACGATCGGAATCAAGTACTTGTGTGGAAAACTTTTTCATTTCACGTTATATCTTTGCCAAGTTTGACAAAAAACAGAACACTCAAAATAAAGTTATTGTAAGAAACCTTTTGTATTTGTGAAGGGTATTATAGCTTCGGTGCAAGCGAAGTTAAAATTTTCATAAAAACAAAATTATTATAGAAAGCAAAAGGTTTCCTAAACTGAAAATTTTTAACAAATTACAAAAATCTACACTTTAAAAATGCACAGCACGATAATTTAATTTAATACAAACTTTTAATGTCTACATTTAAAAAAAAACAAAATGCTGAAACTCTCGAAGTAACAACTTTTTCCAACCTTTATTAAGTTTTTTTTAAACAACGTTTATTTAAACAACGTTTATTTAAACGTATAATATTAAACGATGGGAGATATAATAATTTAACCACCGGTTAACTCGCTCATCGTGAATTCTTTATTTTATAAATTTTAAATTATAAATAAAGTTTTCAAAAAAAACCCATTGTGAATACGCCAAATTTGCGTAACAGCTGATTTGAGTCAGCGATTATAAATACAAAAGTCGAATTCAATTAATAGCTAATGTACTGGCAAATGAACGTAAACCGGATATTGCCAAAAACAAGCTTTAAACAATTCAATTTTGTTTCAACATTTTCCGGAATTCTTGCTTTATTATATTTTTTAAATCAGCATCTTACTTCACGCTTTCGGAGCGCAACTTTGTTTCCGATACTTCCGACTACTAAATAATTGACCACAAGATATTGCCAATGGCACAGAAAAGAAACCCACAAAAAAAATTCAAAAGAAATATAGAAAAATGCACAAGAAAATCTGTTTGCCGAATTCAAGTCTGTAGTCAAAACATAAGCAAGTTCTGCAACAGCTCGTCACCTTCTTCAGCGCAGACGCGCATTAATGAATAGTTTCTGTGGATTGTCAATGATTTTTTCGAAGCTAGTTTTATTGCAAAGTATTTTGAAATTCCACCCAAAAAATCATAAGCAACGAAATGAGTTGAAAATACACAAAAAATGTGCACAAAAGCTACATGCCAATTTTTGTTGTTGAACTTTTTCTTTTTTTTTTTTTTTGGTTGACGTAAAACAAATTGTGAAAACAGTGGTGGTGCGGCTACAAATAACTGAGGCTAAGGCTTAGAAATAAATACAAAAAACAGATTAAAAAAAATAAAATTTTGTATATATAAATGAAAAAAAATAAAAAAATTATAAATTGTTTGTCTCTGAAGCTGCGCTGTAGCTAAAAAGCTGCTTTGAATATCAATAAGTTATAGCGCATGTGAAACGTACGATGTCGATACACTCATGAGTTGTATATACCTATGTATATGCAATATGTATATGTATATATTAAAGATAAGTAGTATATTTTTAATATGCCAAAATGGCGGTATCGTGCCAAAACAAAACGGATTTTTACATATATACAAACATATATACACACACACAAACACACAATATATTTTTAGCTGTTTATATCTGTATAGCTAGTGTCAAGCGCTTGATTACTTCGTCTTTGTCTATGCCATTTGAGAAGGAAGTCGTTTCCGAAGGCACTTTGCACGCTCGTGCACTTATGCGCTTCCTTTTCTCACCTTCAGCGCTGATTAGTGGTTGTCAGAAAAGTTTTTTCGAATTAGCATTTAATTTAGTTATGCGAGGATTCTAACTTGGCATATCAAATGGTTAAGACAAATGTTAATTCTTGACAGACTGCGCAGTTTTAATTCGTTATCTTTACGCTTTGAATTTCCGACAAATTCATTTGCGTTTCAATTGAACTAGCTATATTATAGTTTTGTGTGCTCTAAAATGAGTTACTAATGGTTTGAAGATAAAAAATTATAAAAATTTTTATTGTTGCTCTTGGTTGCATAAATTTTTTATATGGCTTCTTTTCAAATTTAATTTTTTAATTTAAAAATTTTTTCAATTTTATTTTGAACGCTGAAATACCAGTATATTAGTTGAGACCTTTATATAGGTATACTTGTAGAGATCGATATCTTTCGTGATTTTTCAAATTGAGCTATTATAATTTTTCCCATGCAACCGAACTCTGTCATGTTTGCAATGTAAAGTACAAAACATCATCAGTAAACATAATTAATACTCATGTTGTAATACTCGAATCGTTGCCACATGTTTGAAAATTTTAATAATTTATAAAGCAATAATATATAAGC